TTTATGCCTAGGGTCAGACTTGGATACATGTGTAGGTTTGTGTCAGCTGTGCTAGCTAATGGATTTATTTAGACTAATTAAGTTCATTGGCAGAACAATTGAATGGGGGGTGTGGGGGGAGGGAAGGTATGGAGGGCAACCATGGATGCCAGGGACAATGGGGGAGGAAGATGGGACATAGCAGAGGGTGGGGAATGGGGAATCAGGGATGGCAAGACAAAGGGCAAGATATGCAGGACGTAAGAATTGGAAAATTATTTGCTGAGAACATGTATGTGGATGTGCTTGATTGAGACAATGCACAGTGTATTTTGGATGGAAAATTCATTTGTGTGTTGTGATGGTGTAAAATGAATTATTAAAAAAAAAAGAATTAAAAATAAAAAAGAAAGCATTGGGCAGCCTCTGCTTGTAAAATGGTACAGACTTGTGCCTGGACGGTAGCATGGTGGTAAAATACAAGGCTCTGCAAGGCTAATTCACATGGGAAGTTTCTAGATTCATGTCCAGAGACCTCCCTGTGTATGCTGAGTGCTCATATGCTCATGATCTGGGGCTGGATGGTGCTGGAGGTGGAACACACATCAAAACCCTGTGGGGGTGCTATCTCTCTATTACTCTCTCTCAGAAGAAAGATGGCACAGACTTGCTGAGACGAGGGCTCAGAGTACTAGGAAGAAAATATACTGACTGCCATACCTGGGGTAATCAAATGGAGTACAGTGTGGCATTAAAAGCATTTGGCATTCCCTAATTTTTAGATACAGTGAATTCAGTGACCTTGATACTTTCAAATTCTAGTGATTTGGAAGTTTTATTTTAGTGAATTCATTATAAAATCCATATGGACGGAAGCAGTTAGTGAGGTGGGGCAGTTTCTTAACTAAGAGAGTATGTGGAACTCTGTGGGAGTGTGTCCTTGTTTCTAGAGTCCCCTTAGTTAGGAGGAAGAATTTAAAGCAGCAAATTTTTGCTCTTGGTCCATACATTCCAAGCTTACTAGTCCCAAGTTTCAATTCTTCCTTTTGGAAATGGTTTAGGAGTGTTCATTACTTGATAAAGGGAAATGTGTTTTTGAGTTCCACCTTAAGAGTGTGTGGCCACAGAAAATCAGAAAGATGAACCAGCCAAAGTTCTGCTATCTGCCACGTGAAATCTTTGCAAAGGGTCAGATTTGGCATATCTTCACTCTGTCAACTTCCTGTACTGTCGACTCTCTTAGGGTGGGTTCACAATGAAGGTAAAGGAAATGATGGCATTTCTTTTAACTGGAAGTGGGATCTGCGGGGAGACATTTTTGTTGTTGTTAAAATTACTCATACAAGCCAACTGCCTCTCTGACAGGGTGACGGCATAATGTCTGTTCTGTGCTTGTGCTTTGCTCCATGTCTGATTAGTCACTTGTGAGTTTGTTCTTAGATACAGTTAGGTGGGTGGTGGTATATGAGAGGGCTCCAAAAAATTCATGGAAAAGTGGAATTAAAAGGCAAACTTTCGTGTGTGTGTGTGTGCAAAAGAATTGAAATTCATGTGTAGTGTATTTTTTTCTTTTTTTATACAAAGAATTATTTTAAAATTTAACTTTATTTATTTATTTGTTTTATTTTTAATTATGACTAGAGAGGGACAGAGTGGGTGAGAATGAGAAAGCAAGCCATCAGGTCTGGAACTTGAACTTCAGTAGGCCATGTGTGAATCCAGGACCCTTAATCACTATGCCACCTGCCAGCCCTGTGTGTGGTGTTTTTATGTTATGTATTTTCCAAAAGCTTTCTGAGCACTCCCTCATATCTCACTTGTTTAACTTTAACTCCTAGCTAGATTCCTGCCTTGTGGTAGAAACTCGATAAACATTTTGTTACCAAATGATGGACTCTGATGATCTACTCATACCTAGCATGTAGCAAGTCCAAAATAATTCATTCCAAAGGAATAGGACATAGGGGGATCTGTAGAGGGTGATGGTGTCCCCCCCAAAATATGTTAATGTCTAATTCCTGGAACCTGTGAATGTGACCTTGTTTGGAAAAATGGTCTTTGCAGATGTGTTAGGCTAATAATTTTACAACAAGCTCATCTCGAAATATCCAGATGGGTCCCAAATGCAATACTAAGTGACCTTTTAAGAGACACAGAAGGGATACACACATGCACACATGCACGCATGCACAAGGAGGTGATGTGAAGATGGAGGCAGAGGCTGGAGCTCTATCTACAAGTCAAGGAACAGCAGCAGTCTCCGGCAGCCACCAGAAACTAAAAAAGATTCTTGAAACTGATATTCCCTCTGAAACCTCAGAGGAAACTAACACTGCTGACACTTTAATTTCAGACTCCTACCCTCTAGGACAGTGAGAAGGTAAATTTCTTTTG